TATATATATATATATATATATATATAATGCTACTCTATACATTAAATAGGGTATGCATTTATATATAATATATAACATAATAATATATAATAATTTAAAATATAATAATATATATTTATTTATTATTTATTATATACAATTATTGATGAATACATTATTTTTTTTCATCTAAAATTACACCATTGTAAACCAAACTATTATTGGGACTATAAAGAGTTTAATAAAAAATTAATAATATGTAAGAAGTTATAAATTATTATAACAATGAAGAACAGCAAATGAGTATTTACCATGCTAACTAAATATAATTTAGATGAATAATATGTTAATTATTAATATTGAAAATACAGTTCATCATTTGGTAGATGAAGGGGTAAGATCATTTCTCCCCTTTTTTTTGCAGCATGCTAATTAGTAATATTCGAGATTGGTTCATTTTATCTTATATAATCTATATATCTATATATATAATGCTACCTTATGCATTAAAAAGGATATGCATTAACAATAGTTTAGAAACATGAAAAAAAGAAAGAAAGAAAGAAAGAAAAAACGAGAGTACATTTTATATTAATGAGTTGGTTAAGCTTGCTATATATCCCTAATTAATAAATAAATATGTAGTAAAATAATTTCTCCAATTATTTGATGTATATTAATTAAATTAATATATTTATTATTATTTTCTGTTACATATTCATTAAACCAAAAGAAGAGAAAGAGACATACCTTTTGATTTTTCTTTTCATGAAAAGTTCACTAGATAATAAATATATTTAAATCTTCCTCTCATAAAATATTCTCATTATTATCATTAATTTTCTAATATTATTACCTGTCTCTTGAAATTCTCTTCCTACTATATATAGTCCATTGATTTCTTTTGAAGACAATATTGATAACACAAAAGAAATAAGGAATATGTTAACCAATCAAATATGCAAGTGCAAGAGCTTCATGCAATGAGAATGGCAATGTGAGATGCATCACATTTTCAGGGAAGCAAACTACAATCCATATTACATGGCTTTGGGATATTACCATTTAGAGAGGGGAGGGATATAGTTGATTTGGTACATAAACATCTTAGAAATGATTTGCTAAAAGTGTGTCGATTTATAGCCTCCAAATTAATCAGTACTTAAGCACTATCATTGTAAAAAAAAAAAAAAAAATTCTACTTGATTGTTTACATTTTTGTTTTTGTTTCTTAACCACAATTCCTAACAAAGTTCTCCGTTAGTATTATTGATTAAATATTTATAATTCATGAAATCTATTAACAAATGAATTGTGTTTGCAATGGTACCTAATTTTCATTCACTTGATTTTTTTGGGCCAACTTATACTCTTGATTATTGCCATTAGATTTTATTTGTTCCTAAAAGTTTCTAACATTTTTTATAATTTATTAGATTTATTATCAAGTCACTCTATTATCAAAGGTAAATAGTTAATTTCTATTATTGATTATTTTTACTAGATTTTATTTGATTTCCTAAAATTCCTAATAATTCCCTTTTTTCTTAGTGATTAATTGTTCCAAGAATATAAATTATTGTCTTATTAGTATTCTAATTTTAGTTTTTATTATAATTTTTAAGCTCTAATAATGTTATTTTTATCTAATTTGTTATTCATATTTCATTTTTGTCTTTTACTTGAAAGTCTTAGGCTTCGTTTGTCAATGCTTTATAATTAAAATTATTACAATAATAGTTATAACTCATAATTTTATTGTTGAGAATAAACATGAAAC